AGGAATTTAAAAAATGGATCAAATACACCGGTAAGTATAAATTTTAATTTATATATTTTTATTTTTTATGCATACAAATATACTTATATATAATAATTTTATTAAATTGTAATTAGGAAAAGGAGAAACGGTGTTAGATGGACAGTAGATGCAGAGAAATTGCTGCTATTGCACTGTGCAGATAGTATAGAAGAATTACGAAGCGCGAAAAAAAAATTTCATATCTTTGCGCGTTTGGAAAAGGAATTTTCAAAAAGGCAGATGAACTACAGTGCAGCTGAAATAAAGGAAAAAGTGCATAATTATACCCATCGATACAATAAGTACATTTAAAATTAAAAAAGTATATTTAGCTGCATACTCACAGCATTATAATATGTATTTTATTTTATAGATTAGAAGAGAATGCGGTGGGTATGACTGGTGGTTCGCCTTCCTCTTGGATCCACTACAAGGAGGTGGAARAAATACTCAGTGGTAATAAGGCAGTAAATTTCAAAGAACTCATGCAAGAGAGTGTATTACCTAAATATAGAAATGAAATTTTTTTTATTATTTYATTTTAATTCAAGATGTGGAACCAGAAGACAATATTGGTTGCAAGCAATGAGCTTGCAATACTTTCGACGACTCCGGAGTCTGCAAAAAGAAGGAAATTAACCCATGAGCGTTTAGTAGAGAATTTGGAARAAACTTCAGATATGTTTGAGAAAGAAATGGAGTCCATGAGAGGGGTGCAAGAAAGAATGGTGAAACTAACCGAAAGACCTTATTAATTTGTTAAATAAAAAATAAAAATAATTACAAATGTAGAACAAACTTACAAAATGAATATTCCTATAGCACAATCGCTCTTCTAATTGTTTCAGGTTCTGCTTCAAAATCTGCTACAGCATCTGTGTGCTCGGGCTGTTCCAGGCGTACACTACTTTCGTAAGTGGTTTGTTCTTCTATCCATTTGTGGTTGATGACATAATTATGACAATTTAAAAAATTATGCAATGTACAGGCTGCTTTAATTATAAGAGGAACATATTTGATGTGGTTGTCGACTCCTTTCCCTATTCTCCTAAAACGAGCCTTTAGGTGTYCAAACGCATTTTCCACCACTCTTCGGCATTTGGACAATTGGTAATTAAACATTTTTTCATGCTCTGGAGGATGTACTTGGAATGGATAGGGCTTGTTGGCAAAACGGAAAGCCGAATAACCCATAACGAACATCCCCACAGGAACATTCACGCCATTAATAGCTTTGCTTTTTGCAGTGAAGGTTGGGTCCTTCCATGCAGTATTTAGTTTGCTACATAGAAAAATTTTTGAGTCATTGCATCGACCTGGGCAGCCAACATTAATGTAGAGGAAGCGATATCTGGATAAAAAAGAAATTAATGAAAATATCAAGTAAAAATTCATTATACCTCTAACCTATAACCTACAAGGGCAAATAAAACTGTGGAGTACCACCCCTTATAATTGTAATAATCCGTGCAATCCTTCCCAGGTGGCCGAACTTTAATGTGGCAACCGTCTATGGCACCAAGACATTGCGGAAAGCCAAGCTTCTCAAACTCATGAACACACTCATCCACTTTTTCACTGTACCTCAATTGTTCTGTCAAATAAATGGGACGCAATGATTGCCACACTTCGTGGCAAAAAGCAAGAAATATTTCGCTGACGATTGCCTTCGAAACACCGAACAGTCGTGCAACAGTTTCATACTCCGCCGTAGATTTTAATGTGTARACGACAACAGCTACCCTTTTCTGCWATGGGATGCACTTCCTATAGCATGAACCCTSTTTGATAATACCTTTGACATATTCACACAAAAGGTTACCCTGCGAAAGGTTTTCTTAAAAACGCAGTCGTTCATTGATGGAATATCCTTTTCCCAGAAGTTCCCATGTCGCTTCCTGAGTATATGTATTTAAATGTGTTTATAATTTATTGTGCTTTTTTTACTTACGTATGCCCAAATATTTCTTGGGTTTATTTTCTTACAAAGAGGTATTGGTGTCAACATTAATATTTCATAATAAATCGATATTACTCGAGCTCTTCGTATCCGTAATTCCTGCTCACTTTGTTGGATAGCAACTTTATATTCTCGGCTACAGGAATTTAATGCAGCTAGATATTTATTGCTTTCTTCTTGGTTTGTAGCAAACAAAAGTAAACATTTTTTGAATTTTGAATCCATCACTCATGCATTAACATATTTTTTACTAGAAGAAAATATGTAAACAACAAAAAAAACACAARTGCCTACAGCTGTCAATTTCTCTCATTTAATTGGGTTATCTTTGCTWTATGTGAACGCAACAAGGTTAGCTTTGAGGTTAATTTTTGTTAACCATAACCTGCTTAGATGTGAACGTGCTATAACTCGGTCGAGATGGAGGAGTTTCACCACAGACAAATTATAAGCGTGTTTCACCACGAAAGTAACAGAATTGAGCATTTTCAGTGTTAAATGAGAAAAAGTAATGCTAATTCCAATGTAAACAAATTTACGCCTAGAGATTCGTTTATTTTCTATGCGAAACCGACTCGGTCATAATTTATATACATATGATCCATATATATTTGGTATCAAAGCATATACTTAGTATATATGTACATAAGTACGTATGTATATATATTAAAATTTATTTACATATATACATATGTATTTCATGATGATTCCATAAAATCATTAAAAATGTATAATAAAGTTTATATTATTATCCAAATAATTAATACAAGTTAAGGTAATTAGTTTTAAACTTATACACTTACCTTAAAAGCTTTGATATCATATTAAAAGATCTAGCGGTCGCACATGTGCTCATATACATACATACATAGAATTATGTGTGCATGTAAACAAATATGACAGACCATACGCATAATGTTTGTAAATTTGTCTACATGCAACATATGCATGTAAATATGTATACTCAATGCTTCATAAGAAATCTCCGTTCACACGGCCAGCCAATGACGAAGCTCACTTTTTGTCAAAGAGTCAAAGTGGCGAGAATGCGTCACAACATTGTATTGTTGGTAGAAAATCCGAGCTGTGTGGAAAAAAATAAACGAACGGCCGCCAATTGTCCCTGCACAGCTTCGCAAACAAACCAGCGTTAATATGAATGTTTGTGTGTAAGCTTGCAAGTTAACGGCAGCAGCCACCCAGACACTTTACGACGAATATAAACAAATTGTGTCTTCCCACAGTATTAGTGCTTGGTCAGCAGAATACTTTAATTAAGAATAAGAAATTAATATATMATTTGTTTTGATAATGAAAATAATTGGAAATTCAATGCTCTGGCATTTCATCACTAAGTGTAATGCCAAAGCATCTCCCTAGTGCCGGAACGGTCGCGACTAGTGAACTCGAGAACCAAAAAAATNGACTCATACAATAATCACCATCATCTTTTTTCATTAATTCTTATGTCTCAGCTAATTGTTTTAAGTTTAACAGAAATTTATATATTTTTATTTTTTATGCATACAAATATACTTATATATAATAATTTTATTAAATTGTAATTAGGAAAAGGAAAACCCGTGTTAGATGGACAGTAGATGCAGAGAAATTGCTGCTATTGCACTGGGCAGATAGTATAAAAGAATTACGAAGCGCGAAAAAAATGTTCATATCTTTGCGCGTTCGGAAAAGAAATTTTCAAAAATGCAGATGAACTACAGTGCAGCTGAAATAAAGGAAAAAGTGCAGCATTATAATATGTATTTAATTTTATAGATTAGAAAAGAATGCGGTGGGTATGACTGGTGGTTCGCCTTCATCTTGGATCCACTACAAAGAGGTGGAAGAAATACTCAGTGGTAATAAGGCAGTAAATTTCAAAGAACTCATGCAAGAGAGTATAGGTAATATAAAAATGGAATTTTTGTTTGCTCTTTTATTTATTATTTTATTTTAATTCAAGATGTGGAACCAGAAGACAACATTGGTTGCGCTGCTATCTACCCTTCGACGAGCAGCCAATCCCAATTAATTTCAAGCGATGAACTTGCAGGACTTTCGATGACTCCGGAGTCTGCAAAAAGAAGAAAATTAACCCATGAGCGTTTAGTAGAGAATTTGGAAAAGACTTCAGATATGTTTGAGAGAGAAATGGAGTCCATGAAGGGGGCGCAAGAAAGCATGGTGGAACTAACCGAAAAAGCAGTTCTTTCGGAAGAGAAAAGGAATGATATTTTAAAAGAAATGAGTGAAAATACGAAAAAATTTTATAAAGACCTTATTAATTTGTTAAATGAAAAATTAAAATAATTACAAATGTAGAACAAACTTACAAAATGAATTCGCAATCGCTCTTCTAATTGGTTTAGGTTCTGCTTCAAAATCTGCTACAGCATCTGTGTGCTCGGGCTGTTCCAGGCGTACACTCCTTTCGTAAGTGATTTGTTCTTCTATCCATTTGTGGTTGATGACATCATTATGACAATTTAAAAAGTTATGCAATGTACAGGCTGCTTTAATTATAAGAGGAACACTTTTGATGTGGTTCTCGACTCCTTTCCCTATTCTCCTAAAACGAGGCTTTAAGTGTCCAAACGCATTTTCCACSACTCTTCGGCATTTGGACAATTGGTAATTAAAAATTTTTTGATGCTCTGGAGGATGTACTTGGAATGGATAGGGCTTCATTAGATTGTTGGCAAATCGGAAAGCCGAATCACTCATAACGCCCACAGGAACATTCACGCCATTAATAGTTTTGCTTTTTGCAGTGAAGAGTGGGTCCTTCAATACAGTATTCAGTTTGCTACATTGAAAAATTTTTGAGTCATTACATCGACCTGGGCAGCCAACATTAATGTAAGGGAAGCGATATCTGGATAAAAAAGAAATTAATGAAAATACCAAGTCAAAATTCAATATAGCTCTAACCTATAATCTACAGGGGCAAATAAAACTGTGTAGTACCACCCCTTATAATTGTAATAGTCCGTGCAATCCTTCCCAGGTGGCCGAACTTTAATGTGGCAACCGTCTATGCGGAAAGCCAACCTTCTCAAACCCATGAACACACTCGTCCACTTTTTCACTGTTCCTTAATTGTTCTGTCAAATAAATGGGACGCAATGATTGCCACACTTCTTGGCAAAAGGCAAGAAATATTTCGCTGACGATTGCCTTCGAAACACCGAATAGTCGTGCAACAGTTTCATACTCCGCCGAAGATTTTAATGTGTAGACGGCAACAGCTACCCTCTTCTGCAATGGGATGCACTTCCTACAGGATGAATCCTGTTTGATAATACCTTTGACATATTCACACAATATTTCAAAGGTTGCCCTGCTCATGCGAAAGGTTTCCCTAAAAACGCGGTCGTTCATCCTTTTCTCAGAAGTTCCCGTGTCGCTCCTAAAGTATATGTATTTAAATGTGTTTATAATTTATTGCGCTTTTTTTACTTATGTATGCCCAAATACTTCYTGGGTTTATTTTCTTACAAAGAGGTATTGTTGTCAACATTCATATTTCATAATAAATCGATATTACTCGAGCTCTTCGTATCCGTAATTCCTGCTCACTTTGTTGGATAGCAACTTTGTATTCTCGGCTACAGGAATTTAATGCAGCTAGATATTTATATATATAGTGGAGGATGGAGTCATGTGTAGAAGTTCACGCAAGTGAGGAAAGTTTTCTGATCGCCATTCACGTGGGAGTGGCCAGAAACGATTCTTTTACATATGACTCAAGCAGCTCACGACTTCCGGTCTTTGACCAAGTATCCTCTGGGTAGCCTAAGAAC